TCTACTCCTTCGTCCTGCATCCCTTTGCACTGAAATAAATTCCCCACCGTTCTCTCAACATTGCCTTCCATGCTCATGGGGCCGGGAACACTAGTGGCTGGCTGACTCATTCTTTGCTGAGTTCCCGAGTCAATGCTGCCGGCTGTCACTCCTCCCCCAGCGACTACAGTTGTATCAGAATTCGATGTGGAAGTCACCGGGCGAGCAGCACACTGGGGTTCAATATGTTGTCTGGCTGCTTGTATCTCGGTAAGTCCTGCTGTCTGGTCTGCTTTTCCCGCGGATTGTAGCTCGGTGGCACCAGTGACTTTTCCAAGTGTTTGCTTCATTTCGAATCAGTGTTACTAGGATGTTGAGAAAGGCTGAGGCAATACTTACCTCTACTGCCCCCTTTGCGTATTTATAATGACCATGCAACTTGCTTGCTGTTCCTGTGGCTTTAGTCTGCTGACCTCCGGCAGCACTGGGGCCGTGACCTCCTGCCGGACCAGTCGATGACATACCTATTCCCTCGAACTATTTCTTTTCGTTCGCGGGAGGTTGCCTCTTCTCGGTAATATCTTTACTTTTTGCTTCAGGACCAGGATCTTTGAATAACCCCCAGAGCTTCTCGAATACAACAAGCGGCCGTGGTCGATTAAAGAAGCCTTTCGGAAGAGCGTTGTTTGCCTTATTAGCTGGAGGTATAATTCGTGGGATGGGCATTGTTCAACGTTGATGAAAGTTTGCCGTTCGCATAATGACGTGAGGGGCTTGACTTTGACGTGTGATCACGTGATTAGATCTCTGCAAGCTTGGCAAAGGCTTCAGCTAACCCTGGTACATACCTAGCTATCCTCTTACGAGGGGCTTGTGCGAACCAGACTGCCTACTTAGGCTATGCCCAACCTTTAAAATGTATTTTGTTACACATACCAACAAAAGAAAAATTAAGTATGTAACGTACTGGACTGGTGTTGCATCAGCGGGGAATCGAACCCCGGTCGAATCGATGGCAACGATTCATCATACCACTGGACCACTAATGCATTGCATACAAATTAATTTCCCACCGAATTATAAGACTTGAAGGGCAGGGCAGGCAATGGTGGCTACGCAGTTGTTTTGCAAGTACATGGGGATATATGTAGCCAAGGACATTGTTCTCGGCCAGACCGATTTATTTTGGTTAGATGAGATGTATTGTTGTAACGACTAACGACAGGGGCCTTACAGAATACTGCAGTATTATAAGATGTTCTTCGTGTTTTTTCCTTGTAATCTGCTGCGACTTGAAATTGATAGAATCCTATGAAAAACCTGATTTTAAATCACGTAATCCTAAGTGCTAAAAGTTCTCCACGTTAATAAGTTACTTCTCACTAGTATGTTATTTATGATAAAAACTAAGACACTGGTTGGACACGGAAGGGAATTTTGTATTCCTCCTAAGTCAAGTTCGGAAGATCACATATACTCACACCCCTTTCGACAGCGACCAAGGCTACGAAAGGCGACAGGACCACTGTGAGGCAACGCGCAAGTGACAGAAACAGACAGGCAGAGGGGGAGAAAAAATGCCTAGAGTCCCTTTTGTGGGGCGTCTACACCTGTACCTCCCTCCCTTCCGCGCGCGCACTTCTGAAGAGTTTCATACACCAGAGGAAAACACCATCGGCTTTGATTTCACTGCCCATGCACCCACTCTAGAGGCGGGATCAAGCAGTGATGGTAGTAGTATAGTAACTCATACTTATAGTAGAGAGCTCGAAAGAGAGCGCCTCTTCTACAAGTTTAAAGAGGAGGAGGAGAAGAGAAGAGCAGAGAAGCAACGAAAATCCAGATGGACAATACGATGGTTCAAGGATGAGGCTAATGCGTTCCTTTCGTCGTCGGTACCTCTTTGGCGACGAAATAGTCAGGAATATGTGGCTCTCGTCGTGAGCTTTTGCTTCTTAATATTGGAGAGCTTCATCCGAGTCATCACTATCGCTTTACGTATGGACTCCGCCGCAACTCCTTTGGAGAGTGGGTTTAGCTAATACTTTATTGTTCATATAGCTACCCCAGTTATACATTTTTTTTACCAACGATCGCGTACGCTCTTCAATGCGCTTTCCCCTGCTTCGCATACGACGAAATCATCAACACGGAAGGAGAAGAATGTCGTGGCACAAATACGGGAAGCAGACGGATTTGTAGAGCTTTGTGCGGTTTGGAAATACGAGGCAGAAGAGCACATTGTTCAGACCAAAGATGGCTATCTACTAGGACTGCACCGGGTTAGGCCCAAGGGAAGTTCTGAGAAAAGAGGGAGGGAGCGAACGCGCGGTAGGGGGCGCAGGAATTTCCACGGTGAAGACGCGGGAAAGCGGGTGGTTTACATGCACCATGGTGGGTAAATTTGTGACTATCTGGACGGTACCTTCCATTGACTTCAACACAGGTTTAATGATGAACAGCGAAATCTGGGTCTGCCTAACGGAGAAAAAACGATGCCTACCTTTTGTGCTCGTCGATGCTGGATATGACGTTTGGGTAACGATCCTCGTTATCAACATTTTCTCTACAAGCAATGCTCACTGACCTTTATATGTCTTAGCTCGGTAACAATCGCGGGAACAAATATTCCAAGAAATGTATTCACCACTCGTCTTCTGACCCGACTTTCTGGGACTTTTCAATGGATCAATTCGCTATTCATGATATTCCAGATGCGATTAATTATATTCTAGACACGACGAAGAGCAAGAGTTTGAGCTACATTGGATTCAGTCAAGGCACTGCGCAAGCTTTTGCTAGTCTAAGCATACACCCCAGTCTTAATGAGAAAGTGGATGTGTTTATTGCACTGGCTCCGGCTATGAGCCCTGCTGGTATGTAAGAATCTAGTCATTACTAAGATCGGCCTGCTTATGCATATACAGGTCTGCATAATCCCATAGTGGATGCATTCATCAAGGCTTCTCCAAACCTCTTGTATTTGCTGTTTGGCCGAAAGTCGATCTTGTCGAGCGCCACATTCTGGCAATCCTTACTCTGTATGTCTCTACACCATGGTTTCCAATGCCGAATACTAATAGGTGTAGATCCGCCGATTTTTGTCCGTCTAATTGACTCGGCACTGACCTTTCTCTTCAACTGGAGGGGTGTCAATATCACTCTAAATCAGAAACTTGCTGCTTATGCTCATTTATATTCCTACACGTCCACCAAGTCAGTTGTTCACTGGTTTCAAATTATCAGGAATAAGTCGTTCCAGATGTACGACGATGACGTGCATGCGCAGAGTGTGATGAACATGTATGGGAACACCTTTTACAGGGTTGCCAGATTCCCAACAAAGAACATCACAACTCCCATAGTTCTAGTATGGGGTGGCAGTGATAGTTTGGTTGACATTCGTGTCATGTTGAAGGAGTTGCCCGGCCACACGGTGGACATAGGCGTTAGTATCACCACTTCTTTTAGTGTTCATCTGGCGTAGCAGGTTCTGACCGTCGCAGATTCCTCATTACGAGCATCTAGACATGCTCTGGGCGCAGGATGTTGACAAGCTCGTATTTCCTACGGTTTTGAGCTCCCTCCAAACGTATTCCTATTCATGCGAAGGCGAAGAAGATGAGTATCAACATGTCCTCACCCGCGCTCGAGCAAAATCCGTTGATGCCGAGACGAAATCAATTCCCCAGCTTATGGTCCACAAGGGAAGTGCCGGGTTTTCCCAGAATAAATTGAGCTCCAATCCACCAGCAACATCACGCGTGTTACCATCTTACTCTGATGATGAAAGGAACGCAATGACCGGGACGTCCATGGGGGAAGCTGACGGCGCTGCCGCTTCTGCTAGTAATGTTACCCCCCCCTGTTCACAAGTTCACTACTGGAACATGCGGCCGAAATATTAACCAGCGTAACGAGACAGACAGCGAAAACAGAATGAACATTGGAACTATTCCAGGGACCACCCATGGGATGCGACCGACTTCTTCAGGATCCCTTGGGATAGTAACAGAAGAAACTCCTTCACAAGTAACCTCACCGAGACCAAGCGAAGCTCACCAAATTACTGAATCAACCGGCTCAAAGACCAGCTCGCAAGCACGACGACAGTCACCGAACGTCATCCGAAGATCTCAATCACCCCTTGACCATAAACGACTTTCCTTAGATTCTGTACCACCTCCACCTACTATCAATGCATTCAAAGAGTTTTTTTCGAACCCTAGTCTATTCACTCGCAAACTTCGAGGCCGCTCAGCTTCCGTTTCATCCACCACTAGCAATGTTAGTGCCAGTGCTAGCTCAGTGAAGAGTGGCGAAAATACAAGCGATAATGGGGGTCGTAGTGCAACGAAGTTTATCCCAAGAGGGATTGTATTGCCTAGGCCAGGCGCAGCGGTTGCTGTCAGTACCGAATCAACAATTGAAGGTCTGGATGAGGCAGAGAGACAAAGACAAAAGAGACTTCGGAGGGAGCGGGGCTCTTCGTGAGTTTCTATTAATATTTCATTTTCTTTCTTGAATATTCATTTTGTTTCCTTCCTGCATCGGCGAAGGTTGGTTTCAGTCCATAGGTTACACCTATAATAATTGGGTTTGCTTGTCTCCATGTCAAGCCTTTCATGGGATGTCGTTTCACTAGACCCTGAAGTTCTTCTGTGTCTTATATTCCGTTGGATACGATTGTGCTTGTATTATACCATCATACCCGTCATGAGGGTTCTAGGGAACTTAATATTTATTGGATAACTTGAATATCTCTCATCCAGCCAGACTAAATAACTATTAGCCATTTCATTACATAAGCGATACCATTGAGTAAGCTCTAGATTTGCCTGGGAGAATTGTGACGTATTATCTATGTTTTGGAGATCCATCACTATAACAACCATCTCGTCTCGTAAATTGGTCACCCAAAAAGATAAGAGCAATGAATTCTTAGGTAGTCACTTTCAAGAGAAACATATCATATTCTGCATACCTAACATGATCTAATATAAGCAAAAATAATTGTAAAAGCCCGCTTGGCTTAGTGGTAAAGCGTCGCACTTGTATAAGCTCTTGTGAGCATGTGAAATGCGAAGATCAAGAGTTCAATTCTCTTAGTGGGCAGTTATTCTTTTCTTTTTCACCTCTTTTTCCCTTCATTTGGGAGTATTACCTAAATGGGTAGTCGACTACCTAGTATGTATTTTCCTGGTTTACAGATCGATATCTCTACGAGAGGCGGTACCCGCCAGACTACGATATCCACATTCATACTCTCTTCAGTATTTATAGCCAACCAGACTACTTTCTTTTTACTTATTATATAACCAAAACTATGTTTGTGAGTTATAAGAATGCAACAATAGCTAATGTTATTATCATATATTTAGCTCCAATTCAATAGCACCTGGGAAATTCCTAGAGAATTGAAGAATCTGACCGAGTCTACCTTCCCTTTCCTCCTCCTATCTGCCTACCAACCGTTGCCAACTTGTCATATTCAGATGTAGGCCAGCGACTCAGATGTTGAGTTTTGTTCCGATTGCATGGAGTGGCTGCACGTATGTCTCAAAAAACGACAAGGACTCTTATTTCCCAGTTTTTGCTAGCAATAAGATATTATATTGTCTTTCCTTCATCAAAAAATTTTGGAGCTTGAGTGTCAACAATGCTGTAATCTACAAGACCTTGCAATCAGTTATTTCTTATCCAAAAACAAAGAAATTATCGCCACTAACTTAAGGCAAGTGGAAATATTCATACTCTACGTAGACACGTGTGTCTTAAAGACTGTGGATGTCCTTACGTAAAAATTTATTATGCGCAAGAGTGAATTGATTGAATTATATCCGATTACTCGGGGGAGATTTGTATCTATCTTCCGCTTGCTGGCATAGTTATACTATTCCAATTTTTCAATACATTATATGTATCAGCATCTATATTTACATATATAGGTGCAATACACGAAGAGTTGAAATCTGCAATGGGTATAACGATCGATATAAGAAAGGAAATGCAACGGGTATTAGTACCCCCAATCCTGCAGTGTGCTCCAAATAAAATGGCATGAGATATCCATGAAAATAGTTGAAATTGCAATCCTGTGAATTGAAACGGGTCAGGGAGCCCTCATGGCGAGTGTGAGCCTGAGTGGTTTGAGTCTGGTCACTGGTTTTGTCCATTCACTTTTTGGTCTGATGAGAGCAAGCCGCCAACATCAAGGAATGAAATCTTGCGGGAGGGTGAACTTTGCCAGTCATTGAGTTGACCATCTCCCACTTTTCGGACTGAGGCCGGAGTTTTCACTTTTTCCCGAATCGCGTTCGCATTTCGAGATTTGCCGCTCCCAATTTCGTTCTCACTCCGCTCTGTCCACAACCCCACTTCATTCTCCCATGCAGCTACCCATGGTGCATGTCTATGAGCTCCCTCAGCGTTACTCGGGAGGTCCATTTCAGACAGACTTCGGACAGCAAAAGCACTATGTCGTAGCGCAGCACCACTCATCTTTCTCAAGTCTTCGTTCATCCCGAGACCAGTACCCTTCACCAGGTCTTCATCACTACCCCAAACTCTCATACCAGTTCGCCTATTTTGAATGTCTAATTGCTCTTGGTCCGTCATCCGGCCACCGATCGCAATAGCTTCGGGTGAGTACACCATATGAGCACCACCAGGCCCTCGGTATCTCTTTCGCTTGGGGCCTTTATCTCTGGCAAAAGAATTCAGAACAATGGCATTCGCAATTGCACATGATGCAAGACACTCAATTGAGGAGTATAGAGTTCGATGAGGTTGAGAAGCATGATACTGTAAGACGAATGAAACTCGATATATAGCTAGCGCACAGGTGATGAGCGATAAGGAGAGGGAGACGATAAGCCAAAACCTCCTGTGCTCAACGATCAGAAAAAACTTTATCTAGTGTTCATATCTAGGAATTGGGTTAAGCAGACCTTTTCAATGGCATGGAGGCTAGAAGTATGGGTGGCAATGGAAATATCACAATGAGCACGTCTGTGGCGGCATTACAGACAGCCATGACAATTAGAGGCGCAACTCCTTCCCTACATTGCGCTGCACAGGGAATGTCAATTTTCCCTAAACTAAGCCATAGAGTTGTTATACTTACGTCCTGGGTCTGGAAACACTTGCCCTGATTCCAAATATCGCACGTCAACTCTGTTGTAACGATGCCCTGCGCCCAATGGCCAGAAATATCCCAAACGAGATTGTACTTACAGTATCTATATTACTGTTAGATTCCATTCTCTTATAAATGAATGTTGAACTGATGACACTTACTTCTGGAATGGGGTACACTCTGTAAAAATTGATATCACAACACCAAGAAATGTTACCACCAGGGCCCACCTAATGGTACCCAGTACACCATTATAACTCGTATGCCAGAATGAAAGGTTCAGCTTGCTGTGGAATTCAGTAATACAAAGCTTTTGTGACCATATACTAGGGACATAATTCTCCCTTGTTAGTAAACAGCGTCAAGAAGGACCCTGTAAGCGGACTTCCAGGAAGTACGCACAATGCAGTATACGCAACCCTCGCAGCCAACACAGTTTTGCTGCCATTTTCCCTCCTGCCTATTTCCTTATCCAAGCCCCATTTAACATATTCGCCTCCATTCTGCGGTATCCGAAATTCGTCAAATCCAGCCAATGATATATTATTTGTACCCCATATCAAAACCAGGTGTGCTAGACCTAATCGTATACCAAGTGGTACGATACTGGCAACCATCCACCAATCAACTTTATACGCTTTCGATAGTCTGAAAAATCTCCAGAAAAGCCTACCCAAAATAAGAAAGACACAGAATAGGGAACACCAGTATGTAATGAGAAGAGTGGGGTGGTCAAGGAATGTTGGTCGGAATGTTGGGGCAGAAATATAGAGTCCACGAGGAGTCAGGCCATTTTCATGGTCCATAATCAGGTTGTATCGACAGTGCCGCTATAGTAGCTACGTGGATGTCGGTGCCTTTCGTAATGGAACATGGAAGTAAGCTAGGCGCTGGCTGCAAGCAGATTGTTGGTGGTATACAATATTCGTGATGAGAGTGATAACTTCCCAAGTATAAATAATTAAGTGCCTTGTCCTTAGGACCTTTAATTGGGTCCTGAGGATGTTTAATTCTGAAGATAGTAGTTCAGTTGCTAAAACAATCTATGGCTTGTGTCTGGACGGGATAAGAGTGTCAGTGGCGAACCTCGGGTTTATAAGAGTACAAGAGATAAGATAGGATGATAACTGAGCCAATTACTGGTACAATGCTCCTGTGGGGCTCAGAAACCTAAAGAGGTAGAAGCACTTAAGCCGTCGACATGCTGTAGGGTGACGAAGTGCTGATGCCTGGTTTCAGAGTTTAAGGTAACAGTTGGAATGGAGCAGTGCAAGATTTGAAGTGCCGTTGGATGTTTTCCCAGCCTTGCTCTGCAACCTGACGAATCTGAAAATGCAGTGTTACCTAGTGAGACTATATAAATGCTGCACGTATACCTTGTGCGGGATCTTCACATTCGACAAGGCTGTAAACCCTAGTTGTGTACTCTTGCTTAGTCTGCCTTTCGCAGCTGCTCTAAATTCTAGATCGCTTGTAAATCTTATTATTGACAGTGAAGGGGTATTAGCAAAGTTATATATACGTTGTACTAGGCCAGCAAAGATGCCGGCAGAGTAGCACGCCAGAATTGAACACATATTCAGCACCCTAATGTGTATCTGACATGCATGCATGGTTACACGCTGGCACTGTGGTGTACAATCAGATAACTACATCGAAGCTGAGTGGAGCATATGAGTACTTTAATCAACAATACAGACAAGTTAAGCACTTACAATATGTAGTCGATTCAGCAGTCTGTGATCGTTATAGTACTTCAGACCGGTAAAATAGCGCCTCGTAGCTACCCATTCGCTCTTTGCTTTTAATCCCGATTGCTTTTGTCAACTCTCAAAGTATTTCTGGAAGGTAGACTGCCATAGACAGGATCCCATGAAGCGAGGTTGTGTGTTACAGCGCTGGGCTGTTCCTTGTACTCTACTCCAAGAAATTTCGGTACAAATCACTTCAAGTGTAAGCGTTATCTAGCCATTCTTCTTGATATACATACACGTACATAACTGAACTCGTCACATCGCGCCTATTCTAATGAACCCTATGACGGCTGGAGGTTTCTCCTCAAGTTGCCATGGGCATGGTATGATTCATTTACTAACATACTAAATGCACTCCCCATCCGTCAGAATCGATATCGTGAATTTGAACTTGTAGTACCAGTATCATATTATCTCATGCACGAGCACAGAAGAGTTTAACTTAGCATAGCTTACATAGTTTGATATTGATGGACATGGCTACAGTTATACTCTACCAATTCAATATGTGTCGAGAAGTCTAAATTCCATGCCCATGATCTGCGAAAGAGAAAAAGGCAAACGCACGTCACACAGTAGCCAAGAATAAGACGCAATGAGTAGGAGACATGTCATAACGTGAACACTGATACCCGAATTCGCGGTCTACGCTCGGCCCCCGAAATTCACATGACTGCTTCAGCCGTTGGACCGGAAATTCTGCATATTGTATGGGGCCAACGTGCAACAAAACTTCGCCTCCTTATATACAACACTGAAAAATATTCGTTGCTTGAGAGGCAAAAATTTTCAGTTGCAATTGAGTGCATATACTGCACATATATGTGCATGTTCGCTCGAATCAGTCTCGTTTGTCCTTGCCAAAATGTACTCATTTATGCGTAGCCAGCTCAAGCCACTCCGAACCATGGATTCATGTGCCCTATAGAGGTACCTACTTGCGTATGTACGGGCTATGGGTTCACCGTCCCACACTAGTGTAGGGCACTTGATTTTCCTATCTATCCTGGGCTACCCTAGTAGTATGATCTTTGTCATTCTGGAATCCGGTAGAAGACTGAAGCATTGGTAAATTGCCATAGGAATCCATGGCCATTGAGCAGATGTAAAGAGACACTGTAGGTAGGTTATAGAGACTACCTGTTGAAGGTGAATCTGGGGCTATGCACGAAATGGCATCTGTGCCCCTTCAGTGGTTTATTTGGTAAATCAGTACTCGCATT